GCCGCTATCTCCCTGAAGAATGAGGACCCTGTGTTCCTGACCAGCCTGAGTGACAGGGCTTGGGCCAGACATGTGACTTCCAAAGCTGCTGAGAACAAAATGCCAACCCTGGTTTAGGGAGCCGGCTGGTGCTGTGGCTGGAACCCCCACTGGGGGCTGCCTGGAGATGCATCCAGGCCTGGTAGATCAGGTCCAAATGAACCTGGACAGAGGGGCTCGTCTCCTCACAGGGGCTGGAAAGGACAGGACTAAAGGGAGGAAAGGACATTGGAAGGAACGGCACTGTGGTGACGAGCAGGCTCAGTGATGCGAAGGTGAGGCTGGAGGGCTTCTCAGAGGAGGTGACATTCTAGGTGAGACCTGACGAGAAGACCTTTGGGAAGGGCAGGGGAAGGCTAGCAAACACAGAGTCCCGGGCTACGGCCAGCGTGCCTGGCTTTGGAATAGCCAGGAAGCCAGGGTGGCCACAGCAGCGGGGCTGGGGGAGGTGAAGCTGGAGAGGCAGAGCCCATGGTGGGGAGGGGTGCGGTGAACACACCAAGCTTTCTGCAGTAGTTTTAGGGGGAGGGGTGGGCCGAGACAGCGGACCTGGTTTGTGTTTTAAGAAATCACTCTGCTCTCAGGACAGAGGATGGTTGTGAGGAGGCATAGGCAGGAAGCAGGGCTGTCCATCCAAAGGCTACGCAGGACTCCTGGCGGGGCATGAAACCATCTCATCTCCAAGGGCAGAGGGCACTGCTGTCCAATGAACCCTCTTCTTTGAGAAAATGTTGCTTGGGGCCTGCTTACTCTGGACGCAGGGAGCCAGCTGGATGAGGCTCTCTGCACTATGGTTTGCTGACCAGGTCCCCAAGGCATCAGCCACGTGTGTGTGTGTGTGTGTGTGTGTGTGTGTGTGTGTGTGTGTGAGATTCCATGAGCACTGGCCCCTGCAGTACTTAGAGCAGTGTGTACAGCCAACTGCTGCAGTCACCAGGGCACCTGGGCTGGGTTGGGATGTGCAGCTGCTCAGCCACATCTGGAGTCCACAGTAGGTCTGTGCCCAGCCACCTGCTGAAGCCATCGCAGGTGATCTAATCCTCCAGAGACTTGGCCTGTGTATTCCATGGTGTCCCAAATTGGAGATCACATCTGTGGATTCAACCAGTCGCAGACTGAAAATGCTGAGAAAGAGTCGTGAGTGCTCTGACAGGTGGACTTTTCCTTATCATCTCCCCTCACAGTACAGGATGGCGACTGTTCCCATGCCACCCACATGGGATTGACACCCTAAGTCATCTACAGGTGACTTGATGTACATGGGAGAATGCCATGGGTCATATGCAGATCCTGTACCATTTTACAGAAGGGATATTTGGGAATATGTCCTGGAACCTGGCCCTCCTGACAGGAACAAGGGGCAGCTGGACACCATTTGAAGAGGGGGGGAGGGGTCGTGCCCATTTTGCTGCGTGTGATGTCACATGCCACACAATCTTCCATTCGTTGCCATTCCTGACTTCATTCACCAATGCAAAAAAGGAAAGAAAAGAGAAATGTCTTGGGGAAGACTGGGCTGGTCATTCCCAGCCGCTCTGTGACTTTGAACAAGCCAGCCTTGCGGAGCCTGGGCTCTCGTGTGTGGCGTGGTGATGGCAGGGTGTCTCCTCCCAGGGCCATCTGAGTAGTAAGTCAGATCTTGGATGCGCAGGCTTCATGGACTGTGTCTGGGCCATAGAACTTGCTCCCAGTCCTGGCTGCTCTTGGGGAGGTTGCCCTTCTTCACCATGTGGGGCTGCACACGGGAGGCCAGGCGTGAATGGGAGAGGGGCGTGAGCTCAGCTTTGCAGAGCCAGCTTCCAGCAGCCAGCTCCGAGGGCTGTGTCTGCAGTTTCATGGGTTAAACAGACGCACAGCCAGGACACCATCCACTGCACCGTGCACGGTGCCCACATCAGTGCTGTAGGGTGCACTGTTGGGGTCTTGCAGGAAGAGAACGTCACTCAAGCGGTTCCTTTGGAGAGATTTCAATGAAGACACCACTGGCACAGTATGGAAACTCAGGAGAACCAAAGACTATGAGGTGCCAAGAGACCAGGGGGCTGGGTAGCAAGTGCTGGTCACCAATTCTTCCCATTCCAGAGCCTAGGTGCCTTTGCATGTGGCACTGCAGCCCTCTCTATGGAGAGATAGAGGTGATTCCTATGCTTCTTGAATCAAGTCACCTCGTTTGGTGACTTGCTTTGGCCAATGGGACTTGCCAGAACGGTGCTGTGAGGATTCCAGGCGAGGCTTCAGAGTCCTCTCGCCCCGCCTCGCCCTTCCTGGAGGGCAGCAAGACTTCCACCCAACAAAGAGTGAGGAGTGGGGCTAGGAGAAGGTAAGACCCGAGCCACAGTCAGCCCGCGGGCCAGTGTGTCCCCAGCTGCTGGATGCCTGTGGCACAGGTCACTCCAACCAGTGGTGCTCAGGTAGTCCAGCAGCTGCGCTCTGCCAATCAGTGTTGTTGACCTCACTGTGTTTGGGGTGATCTGCTGCAAGCAATAGAATGTGTACCATGAAGGGCCTCAAGGCATCCAGAGTTACTGGACACCCGGTGCCTCAGGAAGGTGGGAACAGGGACCAAAGCAGCCCACTCACTGTCTTCCTCCCTGCTCCTTCTGGTTTCTCTTCAGGCCTCCCATGGGGCAAACCCAACAGAGCAAGAGACCAAGCGACCCTGGGTGACGCAGTCCACAGGGGTCAACCTTCCGGCCTGAGGATGGGCCTGGGGGCATGTGCGCAGGGGTGGGGTGGGGGGGCACCAATGGGAAGTAACTCAGCTGCCAGGTGGAGGGCAGCAAGACTTTCACCCAAGAAGGAGTGGGGAGTGGGGCCAGTGTTGCTGTGGCCAGGAAGGCCTCCCCAGAGACCCTCAGGGAACCAGCCCAAACCAGGGAGTCCTTCCGACACCCGCTTTTAGGCCGCCTAGAGTGAACTTTGCTCATGGCGCTCAATTTCCACAGGGTGTCCCCAGCTGCCGGGTTGGAACCTGAGAGGTAGAGAGACCCTCACCTGGAGCTGAGCATGCTCAGGAACCTCCTCTGAGGCGGTGGCGTGAGCACCCCCAGCTCCCAGGGAGCCCCTTCTGCGCCTGCTGGCAGAGGCCTGCTCTGGGTGCTGCCAGCATCTCCGGCTTGCTGTGAGTCATGGGCCCTCTCCGCCCTTTTCACTTTGTACTCGCCAAGCAGGGACCCTTTGACACCAGCAGGTGGGGACAAGAGCGCCCACCTTCAGAGCACCGTGTGCAGGCAGGCCTGGCGTCCCACACACCCCTCCCTTCCTGCAGTGGGGCCATCCAGCCAGGCCTGACTGTTCCTCCTGCTAAGGGCCTGGTTTTCTCCACTGTCCACGCCAGGCTCATGGTCTCTCCAACGTCCCCCATGAAGTGGGGAAAGGAAAAGCAGACTCAGGGATTCATCTCCTGTCCTGCTCACATCCCAGACCACTGTCGCCCCGAACTCTGCACCCAGACGTGGCATGATCTTCCTGGTGCTAGAAAGTCAGATGCACACCAAGCCAGTGACCTGCAGGGATAAAAGGAGACTGGCTCCGCCAAAGCTCTGCTCCCAGGCTTTCTCCTCTATCCCCACCCTTGCGGCAGGAAAAGCGAACCCGACGTCCAAACTGTCCTGTCCTCCATGGCCATAATGAGTTGGTGACCACTTGAATGCAATCAGACAACGGGTAGACATAATCATTTTTTTTTTTTTTTTTTTTGCCCTTTTTGCTCTGGAATGATGTAAACAGATTCCAGAGTTGACCAGCAGAGCGGGGCTCCTGCACCTGGACAAATTCCTGGTGGGAGAAGAAGGCGGAGGTGGGAGGAGAAGCCCACAGGAGGCTGGAGCAGGCTGGCAGCTTCAGGAGCGGGAGAGTTTATTTTAAAACTGGGAGGATGAATGAAGACAAAGTAACTTCTAGCTTTTCATGAAAGGGCCCCAAGAGGGAGGCCGCTGAAATGGCAGGTAGCAGAAGGGGACTGCAAGGAGGTGACATGTACGGGACTCTCACGTACAGGAGACTCCACCAGGACTGGTGGAGCTGGGCCCCAGGCTGGCTGTGCAGCTGCTCACCTGCCCAGTCTGACCCCTCTGGGGAGCAATGGAAGGGATGCAGAAAGAAAAGGGCCCGCTCCTGGGAGACGGATGCTTCCTGCTCCAAGGCCTGTAAAGAGACCCAGCCTGGAGGCTGCCTGTCCGTCACACGGGGACTGGCAGGGAGGAGACTGTTTCCTGTCCTTTTATCCTCCTAGGTGACGCGCCTATGGGAAGCTCTGTGCTTTTCCCATCTGTGTCTGGAGGATAGTGATGCTAACTGCATGGTGCTTTCAGGCCTTGGGACACAAGGGATAGATAGGATTTCTTTCCCGTTAGAGATAGGGAAAGACTGGACGGCAGGGCTTCCAACGGCGCTTCACCTTCCTCCACTTGAGTAGATGTGGGCAGGGACAAGGGAGATGGAGAGAGGCAGCTTTGAGGCCACCAAAACAGGCCAAGAGGAGCACTCAGTCGGAGAAGGGCATTTGTCTAGTGACCTCTTCTCCAAGTTGCTAAGTCATCAGGGGCCTTTGTGCTGCAGGACGGGGAAGGAAGTGTTGGCCAGCCCGGCCGTCCTGCACCACGGGCGCTCTGCCCGCCGCTGGCCATTGCGCCTCCCTGACATCTGACTGATGTCTTCATTGCACTGGTAAATAGGCCACCTCCAGACCAAGGTGACCGTGACCTCTGGAGCTGCAGACCACACGGAATTCCCCCTGGGGACCCTGGCAAAGCACTTTCCCACGGGTGGGCGGGCGAGGGCTCTTGTTTCCCTCCCCACCACTCTGATTAGTGCTAGCAAAATAAATAAATAAATAAATAGCCCTCCAACAGAAGAGACGGCAGGCGAGCTGGATGGAGAAGGGGAAGTGAGGAAGGACGAGGGGACCGCCGGGAGGGGCGGGGGTCTCACTTGGAGTGCCTCTCTGCCGCAGGGTAGGCGCAGCTGCCCAGGAAACCACCAGAGGCTGCGGGCTATTAATAGCCCGTGCACGCGGGGCCAAGCGCAGCGTTGCTGACATTTAGAAAAGATCTCCTGTGTGAAGTTGCTTGGAGGCTCCGGCTTTGCAAATGCAATTAAATATAGATTTCTCTGGGGTGAGGCAGGGAAGGGTGTGGGTGTGTTGTAAATCGTGCAGCGAAGCCGTTTAACTCTGGGGAGTTCGGCAAGCGCTTTCCAGCCCCTACTGTGTGTCCCGGGTAAGGTCCACCCGGAGCAAGCTCACCTGACCTTGAAGGAGTCCATTGTTCATTGCCGATGCCCATGTTGCTACTGCCTGCAGGGGCCAGGTGGGCAGGTGTGAGGCACCAGGGAGTGGTGGAGACTGTGGGAGGGAGTGACGTGTGCACGGTCCAGGCACTGGGGGCAACGCAGGCTCCACTGACGGTCACGATGCCCTGGTAATTGTCCAGTATTGCTGTGCCCAGTGGGTTTCAAGGAGAAGCCATATATTTGGAAGGTTGTGTATTCTTTTCTGTTTCCTTCTCTTTTTTTCTAAAACAGAGTGTGGGCCAAGAACCTCATGTCTGTGTGCCTGCTGGGGCCTGGGAAGATCTTATAACAAGATACCTGAGAGCTAAACTAGGAGAAATCCTGAGGACCTGCGGGAGCCCTCGGTGAGGCTCTTAACCCAGCCTGTGGGAGGCAGGGGGGTGCCTGGTGGAGGTGAACAGCCAGGCATCGGCTATGCTGGCGCAGTCCTGTCACGGCAAGCCTGGAATGTGACGTCAATCACAGCAGAAGGGCTGGGAGAGCTGTTCACAGCAGGCCTGGGAGACTCAGCCCACCGCCCAGCCTTGTAGCCAAGGTGGTCATCTGACCAGTGTCTTCAGGGGGAGTAGGGCACCCATCTCCCCCACCTCCCTTCCTCCTGCCGACAGCAAGGTTGTCATGAGCATAGAATTGGGGCTCATAATGGAGCCCCTCTGGCTTTGGTTTCTGTGAGATGGAGATGATAGGTCCCTCGTCACTACTGCTCTGCTGACCATGTTATCTACTCTGCAGCCTGGGGGGTGAGGTGGGGGGTGTGCAGAGCAACACGACAGGGGCCATCTGGGAGACCTGCTGAGGAGCTCCGGTCAGCTGGGCTCTTCCTGGCTTGTGAGAAGCAGGCGAAGTGCCTCAGCCCGTCCCAGACCTCACGGCCTGTGAAGTCTGCAGTGACATGCATGGCCTTGCAGGTGGGCCCGTGGCCGCACTGCCCTGCGAGCCCAGGTTCCTCTTGGGCCTACCTGGTCTGTCCACGTCAGTGTTGTCGGGGATGGGATCTCCCTCCAGCTCCACCAGTTAGGAGGACATTCAGTCGCCCACGTAGAGCTGGGTGGGTTGAGCGGGGTCACAGGTGGTTTCCTGGGTGCCCGGCTGGAGCCAGGAATAGACAGCGGGCTCTGGGGCTTCAGCGCACAGCCCTCTTCTGTTTTGTGGAGCTCTCTTGGTCTCCTCCACCTTGCAGGGCAGGGACATCGTGGCCCCTCGACTGTGCCTGGTCCCATCTGGTGTCTTGCTGGCAGCTGGAGCTGGTCTGACCCCTGCGGCCGGCTTCACCAGGAGTTCACTTTTGCCTGCAGTGACCAAAATCTTCTGACGTCGTCAGAGGTAAAGATCACTTATTAATGACGACTCTCCGTGTGATTTCATGTTAAAGAGAATCCGCAAACTCCCTTGTCGTTTAGTATCTGGCCATGAGAACATAGGCCAAGTGTCTTCCTGTGGCCTGGCTGGGCCTCTGGCTGGCTCAGCCTCTGGGGATAAAGAAGCGCTCCTTTCTGAGCTCCAGACTCTCAGTCCAACCTGCGATTGGCTGGGCTAGATTTGGGGATGACAAGTCATTTCATCGGAGTGGCCGGAGCACAATGTTAAGGAGGACTCAGAAGTTCGGTGGGAGGAAGTTCTGCGATCTATTCGTGATGTCTGAAGGGCGGCCTATGGGAGAGAGGTGGAGGGCACGCTTCTTGCTGACTGGGTAGAATCCTGAAGACCTTCCAGCTCTATCATTCTAGAGTTTTCCTTCTTTCTATGGTTTATGTCTAGAGTAAAAAATGTTCTTATTTGTGCATTTTACACAGACGTTCACATTGACATAATCGCGCAGTCATGGAGAATGATCTTGTTCAGTCCCCGAGCTTCCTCCTTCCTCCCCTCTTCCCTCCTCTCTTCCTTCCCTGCCCCTCCCCCGCCCCTCCCCTCTTCCCTCCCTTCTTCCCTCCTCTCTTCCCTCCCCCGCCCCTCCCCCTCTAGTCGATGTCTTCCTTCTGTTCATTTAATGTTTCTTGATTGATGCTGTATAGACACACGCCTACATGTGCACAGACCACAGTGTGCACACACAGTGCTAATGAGCCCAGGATCATTCTCTTGGAAGGACACTGATCCCGTTGGATCAGAGTTGCACCTCGTGACCTCATCGAACCTGAACTGCCCCCTTCAAGGCCCCGTCCCCCACTGCAGTCATGCCTGGCCTGGGGCTTTGACATAGGAACTAGGTGGTGGGGGACCCAATTCCGTCCCCAGAGCCAGGCTGCTGGGGACTTGGTAGGCAGGTGAGATGAGGATAGTGACTCAGTGGGACAGAGGAGGCTATCTGGGGGGCTCTGAGCAGTGGAGAGACTTGGGTGCTAAAACGATCCTGGCTGCTGTGTAGACAGTGTCAGTGGGTGGAGGCCAGGGCTGGATGGACAGGCTGGCTGTAGAAAAGGGGGAGGTGTGGCAGGTCACCATGGGGAGGTGAGGGTCGGATCCAGATGTGTCGTGAAGATGGCATGAATGGGGTCAGGGTCAGGGGTGGGTGAAGGAGGCAGAGAGGACCCCGAGGCCTGGCCTTCAGCAGCTGGTGAGGTGGAGCCATTCCCTGGGAGGGAGAAGGGAAAGGTGCGCTGGGTGCCAGTTAGTGGTGGTCTCCTGCCCCGCACGCAGGGTGTGCACAGGGCCCTGGGCTTGATCCCCAGCAACACATGCACACCTGCACGTGCACACACACGTTATGGGCTCAGTTGTGTCCCCTCCTCCCCAAATTCATGCATGCAAGTCCCAGCCCCAGAGCCTCAGAATACTACTGCCCAGTCAAGGCTGGGGTCCCACAAGAGGAGGAGTCAGGACACAGACACCATAGGGAGAAGGTGGCCGTCCGCAAACCAGGAGAGGCACCAACACCTTGCGTTCCGTCCTCTTGCCTCCAGCCCCTGAGCAGACCTCTGCTGCTAGCCCGCAGCCTGTGGTCATCCCATGGTGCCCGGAAGGAAGCCTGCGGGTCTTCCTATGGCACCTGACAACCGAGGGCCGGGTTCCTGTGTCCTGGGGGGGCCTTGAACCTATTTCTGACATGAGCTGGCCCGTCCTGCGGGAGCATCTGCTGCTCCGGCCCCACCAAGAGCTCTATCACACTGTCTTGGGGTGTCCCCGCCTGCCCTCACTCGCTGTCGAGGCTGTGAGCTCCACCTTCAGGGAGGACTGCCTGGGTGGCTCCCAGTCCCCGTGCTCCCCTCCCTTCCTCCCCTGTTCCCTTCCCTCTGTTACTGCACCTCTCCAGCTGAGCACTGAGATCTGGGAGCCTGGGGGCTTCTCGCCTGCCCGTCCAAGAGCCCTCTCCTCTGGTCCCAAGTTCAGCTGAGGAGCCCACAAGGACTTGTCAGAAGCACAAGGCCCCTGCGTTGGGCGGCTCCAGCACCCTAGCCCTGACCCAGTGACTTGAACAACACAGAGCTCTCCTCCCTTTTATCACCTGTGTATCATCCTGTTGGACGACTGGCTCGGGCCTGTCTGGACCACAACCAGGGATTCTGCAGGGCTGATCCTTCTGGAAGCTGCAGGGAGGGCTGGTGTTCCTGCCTCTTCAGCAGCCAGAGGCACAGGCGCCTGCATTTCTTCACTCGCGAAGCCTCCCGTCTTCAAAGCCCTGGAATCTCTCGGGCCACACTCAGGAAAGCGCATCCGTTTGTGTCTCTGTGCGAATTAGACAGGACCCACTGGATAATACAGGGTGGCCCCAAGGCCTTGACTTTAACCCCATGTGCTCAACCCGCTTTGCCACGTGAAATCGTGTACCCACAAGTTCTGGGGTTAGGACGTGGACATCTTTTGACCCCCCCGTATCAGTCTTTCCCCTTTATGCCTGGTGTGTAGAACAGACTGGAGAACTAGTAAGTGCTCATTAAATTTGCTGAGTAAATGAACAGCTCCACTGATTGCATGGATACGGCTCAGATGTGCACACTCTTCCTGTGTTTTCTCATTTGCTCTTAATGACACTGGGTGGTAGGTTTGACCCTCATTTTGTACAGAAACTAAGTCTCAGAGAGGTGGAGTGACCTTCCCAGGACCATCAGCTAGTAGGTGGCAGGGCTGGGCTCTAAGCGCCATCTCTGCTGCTGTTTGTGGCAGGGAGAAGCCTCAGACCCCGGCAGGTCCCACGGGTATCTGGTTTACGTGTGCTGACATTCTCACATCAGCACTTCTGTTCCAGAGGTGGATTAGAGGTGGCTGTTGGCCTCCCTGTCCAGGGGAAGACCCCTCTGCTTCTCGTGATACATTCGGTTCTGCCAACGGGACCGAGGAGTCTTGGCTGAGATGGGGACACGGCCCCCACCCAGGAGCCAGTGGCACTGTGTCCCCTGGGAGCTGCTAGGGCAGGTGCTCGGGTCCCAGGCACAGAATCCAGCTCTATTCCCCCCCCCTTTTTTTTTGTGGTGCTGGGGATGGAACCCAGGTCCTTGCAGGTACCAAGGAGGGGTTCTGCCCCTGAGCTGCACCCCGCCCAGCCTGGACAAGCCCCACAGTGGTCTGGGCACATCAGTCTGTGAAAGTCCTGGTCCGAGGCACCTGCAGGTCCCCACTGGTGACCCGGGTAGGGGACAGGCCGGCTGCCCCAGAGAAGAGAAGCTGCAAAATCCCGGGAAAGGTCAGTGGCCTGGAGGGTTCTTTGAAGTGCCTGCTTCATCTAAGTCAGAAATAGAAAGAAAACAAGAAATGGGCCAACGAGAGGGACTCAGATTCTTTTGGGCGGAAGAAGAAAAATAAACAGAAAAAAGGAAAAAAAATTCATCTGGTGTTTCCTAGGACAGAGTTGAAGAAATGAGAAACCAGGTTAAAAGGAGGCAGGAAAGCGCTCGGGCTTCACCTGACAGGGGACTGCCGCTCCTCTCCTAGATGTCCTCTCCAGCCCCCTCGTGCTGGGGCTCCCAGGGAGGCCAACAACCAGTTTCCAGTCTCCTCACTCCTCTGGGGTTGACAATTTCCAGGCTACTCGGCAGGGGACACAGTCCCTCCTCTCCTGGGAAGGACATCTGTGCTCTGGTTGGCAGCCAGTGAGCCGGTCCTGCCAGCAGCTAACCTCCAGCAGCCGCTGCACTGCCTCCGCCACAGGGATCCTCCTGGTGGGTGTCAGGACCAAGTGACTCAGTGTCCCCCAGGCAGGAGGAGAGAGACGACTCCCAAAGGGCAGCCTCTTCTATTATAGTCAGGCCCTGAGAGGAGAAGAATTTTGTCCCTGTTTCCTGGGCAATGGCTGCTGCTATTTCTGTGTCCCCAGGCGAGTGAGCGCTCCTTCCCCGGCTCCCTGCAGGGCTGGCATTTTCCAGAAGACAGGGTGATAATGAAAGCCCAGAGCGGGAGCCTGAGGGCCTCGGCCTCCCCTCCCTGCTGAGAGCAGCCTTGGAGAGGTTGGCTTCCATCTTCTGGGCCCTGAGAAACGCTGCTTTTTGAGGTGCAGGAGGGGACTTTTGGAAGTGTCATCAGAGGGCTCTCCCTGCAGCCTGAAGCCTCACCTCCCACCCTCTCTGGGAGGGAATCTGTGCCCAGCAGCGCTGGCTTCACCCTTGACCTTGCTGGAGTGCGGCTGAAGGGGCTCCGGGGTCCCCATGACGCCGTCTCCCCAGTTAGTCTCAGCCAGGAGCCGAAGGGCTGCAAAGCACACTGGCCAGCGCCGGGGCGCTCCTGAGCGCACCGTGCCTCCTGTTTCCAAGCCCAGGGAGTCGGCTGCACTGCCTGCCTGCCTTTCTGCTTCCTCTGAGGTCTCGAGGGGCGAGGTCCCAGGCGCTCCTCTTGCGCCCTGAAAAATAATAAATACATCGGCTGGCGTGGGCAGGTGGCCATGGGGCTGGGGCCTGAGGCTGATTGGAGCCTGAATCCTATAGTCCCTGGGGAGCATCCCATCAGGTCCCTGTGCAGACGATGCCCTAGGACTGAAGGTCTGGGGAGCCGGGTGGGGAGGGCAGCAAAGGCACAAGCAGCTGCAGCCCGCCTGTTCCCTGCACCCCCCCCCAGCCCCCGTCTCTTTCCCAGACCAAAGTGAGCCTGCGAGACACCATGCAAGGGGCTGCCCTGCTCCAGTGTGGTTGTGAGGTCAGCCCATGGTGGGACCCAAGGACGCCTGGACCGGTTGGAGGACACCTGAGCAGACCAGGTGGTGGGGGTGCTGGCTCAGGAGGGGGTGGCCCCGGATATTAGCCTGTCTCATGGGTGTCATGGGCCTTGTTCCTGAGAGGTGTGCAGTCCTCCCTGGGAGCTGCTTGGGATGCAGAGTCCCAGGCCCTGCTGGACCCCACTCCCTCCACCCTACCCCCAATCCAATCGGCCCTTCAACAGATCCCAGGTGACTTGGGCTCACATGAAAGGTGGAGAAGCCCTGCTGACCCTCTGTCCTTGTTATGAGGACACTGGTGCTGACTTTGGACAACTTGTTCTTTTTAAAATCTCCGGGGCGCTGTGAACTTGAAACGGATCTTGTTTCTCTCTTTGCTGAGGAAAGCAGGTTTGGTGCAACTGAAGCGCTGGTTTTGCTGGGCTCCTGTGTGCACCGCGCCGTCTCAGAGAGCAGATAAGAGCTAAGTTATTTGTCAGTTGATGTTTTGCAGTGTTGAGCTTGGAACCCACGGCCATGGGCACATGAGGCAAAGGCGCAACCATTGACCTGCACCCCAGCCCCAGGGGCTCGTGTAAATGGAGGGTTCACAGGTGAATCTGGGGCATCCTAACGCCTGAAAATTTAAAGACCAGAGACGAATGAAGTGGGCTAGATGGACCTGCCAGGACTGGACGGGAGGTGTCCTGGCCAAAGGGGCCCCTCCTATTCAAACCTAGCCTATCTTATCTTGTGGGGACCAGGCTCCAGGTGGCAGATGATGACATTTTCAAAAGAAGCCTGAATTTGAATTTTTATGGAATCAACCAATATTGAAAAGTTGATAATGGATTGAAATATTTAAAAAAGCAAGAAAAAGCGAAAAATGGGTTAACCTAACCAGGTGTATTTGGGCACCCCACACCCCACCCCGGGCCAGGGGTCTGTAACCTCAGGTTGAGTCCCTCCCTAATGGGGATCTCAGTGCAATTCCCTGAGGAAGATCTATTGCCATGCCCTATCCTGCACCCACAAGGGGCTTGACCTGGGCCTGGCAGGGTCACGAGAAGGGAGGGGGTGGGTGCTAGGTAGGGGTGACATGATTGGAACTCAGTCTCCTTTAATTCACCTTAACCGTTGAGAGGAGGACGGATTTAATGACCAGAAGTTCAGAGAGCAGTCAAGGAGGGCTTGGGCTAGAGACCAGGCCATGCATACCAGGAACAGGGGGTGGCTGTGCACTGGAGGCTGTGCAGGGATTCAAGCCAGCAGGGCAGTACAGCCTTGCTGGGGACCCTCGGGGACCAGGAGGAGCTGGGCTCTGGTCTTGGCGCCTGCTGGATGGGGATTCCGTGCCTGTGGGAGGATGTGCCCAGCTCTGGGTAGACGGGGTTGGCGCCTCCCTTCTGTCCCCTGTGGAGATGAGGTGCACATGGACCGGTGCTGGTGTCCCACCCAGCGGCAGAGCCCGGGCCAGCTGCGAGCCAGGACCTCCGCAAACACTTCTGTGCAGTGGTCCTCTCTCACTGTGTCTCCTTCCCCTTTGATTTCTCCATTTTCGTCTGTGGTCATATTGTATTCTGTGTCTTTGGTAAGCCTGCGAACAACCCTACCCCCCCCCCAATCCAGAATGCTCCAAAATATGAACCCTCTGTCTACCAACCCGGATGAACCTGATGCCGCAATTAGAAAACTCCACACCCGACCTCCCACGACCAGCCATAGAACACAGATGCCCTAAAGTACTTAGGAAATGCCCCCAGGCTGTGTCCATAGGAGTACGCAGTGCAAAATGAAACTCACGTCCCCGTGACTCATCCCTGAGATAGCTCAGGACGTACGTGCAACTATTCCAAAAGCCAAAAATCCCAAATCCAAAACCCTTCTGATCCCAAGCACTTTTGGATAAGGCTCAGTGAACCTAAGAGCCTGTCTCCCGGGTGCCCGCAGGACCCGTGAAGAGTTAGCTCAGGGCTGGGCGGTAGGCAGCTTGTAACTAACGTTAGTAGCGCTACGAACGTCATTCCCTGTGACTGTTACTGGAGTTGCCGCCTTTGAAATTATGCAAGCACGTCGTCTGTGAGCCCTGTTGAGTGTGGTCGTGGGCATGTCCCCTTTCCCGTCCCTGTCTGTGGAAGGCAGTGGGTGGCAGTGGTTTTGAGTATGACCTGGGAGGCCAGAGCCGCCTGTGCTCGCCGCTGGCTGTCAGAGTGACCTTGGCCATGCTTTTTATTCTGTCTGAGGAGGGGCCAGGAACATGTGATGACAGAGGCCCACGGTGCTCGGCCCAGACATGTGGCGGTCGGTGGTCAGATGCTGCTATTCCCTAGGCCACCACCACCACCACCACGTCAGATTGGCAACCACTGTGAAATGGACTGGCCCCTAGCAATAGCATGAGTCCAAAATGCACTGAAATGGTTATAAGGTGCCACAGTGTCCTGAGGGTGACGTCTCCAAAGGAGCTGCCCAAGCCCTAATCCCTGGCCACTGTCACAGAGGGGGACATGAGGCTCAGAGAGGTAGTGGGGGGTACGTGAAGCCCATACCAGTGACAAGTTGGCAAGCTTGGAATCTGACTTCCCCGAGTCCTCTGCACGCCAGCTTTTTCTGGAACTTTCCATCATCCTTGTACCAGCCCAGGTGGGTTATGAGCTACAGTTCTCTCTGTACCCAGGGCAGATTTCAGGGACTGAAGGCAGCTTCTCCCAAGATCAGGCAAGAGCTGGCTGGGGCCAAGGCCCTTCTGGAAAGGGGCCACTGTCCCCAAAGCATGCGGCCCCACTGAACGGCTCAGAGTCATCCTCTTCCAAACCCAGTGAGGACTGAGCCAGA